CAGGGCTGGCCCAGCATGCACTGCTACAGCTGTAGAAGTGGCGCCTCCAGCCTCCAGGGCCGGCCCCAGACTGCGTGGCCATGGAAGCAGTGCCTCCGGAGCTGGCCTTGTTGAGGCGCCTCAGCCCCAGCGCTGCCTCCTCTGCAGCGGCTGTGTAGGGGATGGGGCCTGTAATTGCCTCATGTGCCAGATCAAAGCCCAAGTGTGGGCCGGATCCAGCCTACTGAGAAGCTTTTGTCCACCCCTGCTCTAGTCAGCTATAAACATTATCTCTACAGAGCTTAACAAGCAAAGGCTTCATTTATCAAAAGTCATAAGTAAACTTATTCTAGACTTTTTTGAACTGGGGAATTATGAGCTACTTAGAACCAATGCAAATCTAAGTCTTGTAAGAATCTAAAATTGTTCAAACCTGCTTTTCCTCAGGCCTCTCTAATAAGTGATGCTGTTTTTCTCCATATGAAGGTACAAGACATAAGTTTAATATCTGTAAATGTTTAATGTAAAGAAGTGGTGCTCCCAGGAAGACAAGACTCATTAATGTAAAATGCAATTTTGTTTATACGATTCATATAGAATAGTTAGCTCTTCCACCAGGAGAAGAATGATATTTTCAGAAGAGTTAATGTGAGTGACTGATTAGTTTAATATCAATTATTTCAGTTGCAGGTGTTAGAAAGTTCTCTCTATCTCTGTAATAGCTTTTTTTAAACAGCATAAGGAAGGGTGTGTTTTCAAGGAGAAATGGGGTAATACTGAAAAACACTGACAGCTTCTCCTTCTATTAGAGGGGGAGACCATCTCAAATCTAACTTTGTTTAACTGAAACGGGAAGCTCCTGGAGCTAAAGCCTCATGTTTTATTTGTCTGTAAAGCACCATGCACACCTCTGGCTATGTGTATGTAATAACTAACAATGACCACTAGGGCTGTTGTTATAATCTCTCTTTGCAGGATCTTTGTATGTGTTTAATTAATCTTTGTTGGTGATTAATTAATATTTGTGAATATCTTTGAAGATAAGAACATACCACAGACGTGTCAAGTTGTATCATGTTAAATAAAGGGTTTACATGCATTCAGATATGGTCATACTGTGGTCACACAAAGGCCAAGATACTGCTACACAAGTAAGACAGAATCAAAATTGCAGAGAGGCTAAAGAATGTGTTTTGGCTGTCAATGAAAAATGTTAAAGTGTTGGATTTTTGCATTGCTTTGCACAAGGATGTATTCTGGACCACCATCTACATGTTTTGTTAGTCTATAGTGCTACCAGACCATCTGTTGTTTTTTCCTGTACAGACTAACTCGGCTACCCCCTGAAGCAAGTTAAGGGAGTTCCTTCTTGAGAGATTTCCTCATGTCCATCCACCCACTCTTTCATCCACCCTGTACCATGCCAGTTCAGACATGTCAGCCTGAGGACGTGCAAGATAGCAGTGGCCCAGCAAGGATCTCCGGGTAGGTCTACGCTACAGAGAAGACTGAAACTGCTGCTGTCGATCTTCCAGGGTTTTAATTAGCGGGTCCTAGTGAAGACACACTAATTCAAACTGAGAGGGGCACTCTGGTTGATGCTAGTAGTTCTGCTTCCATGATGAGTAAGGGTAGTTGAATGAGAGTGTTCTCCCTTTGACTTCCTGCTGTGTAGACCCAGTGCCAAAAGTTGAGTTAAGGTACGTCGATTTCAGCTATGCAATTAATATAGCTGAAGTTGCGTATCTTAATTTGACCTTGTCCCATAGTGTAGACATACCCTTTCTGTCCCCACTTCATGATTCTGTGGGCTGTCACTCTCCATCATACTCCTTTCTGACTGACTCCTATCCTGTGTTTTCTCCAATAACAAAAAAAGCCATGCACTCTTCCACAGCACCCCTCATGCCACATGACACAAACCTAGGAGTCACTCAACCCCACAGAAATTCAGCCTCATCTAGAGTGGAACATCATCATTCATCCTCTGCATGTTTCAAGGAGGGGAATCACTTCCCTAGCTGAGTCCCTGGGGAATGCCACTATTTGTGCTAACTTCTTCTCTAAGCTTGATTTTAGGTAGAATTTTCCCCCTCCGCCCCAGTCAGGCAGAATTGCCAAGTTTGCAGAGAGAATCTATATCTAGACACTCACACCATTCCCTGCTGGAACTGTCTGGAATGTAAGAACAGAGGGGTATTGATCATTTAGTGAGATTTTCATCAAACAGTTGAAAGGAGATATATCCACACAGACAGACCCTGGACCAGACAAGACTGAACCTCCTCAGTAATAATCTCTTAGCAAACAATCATACATTATAAATACACAGTGTTACACAGCCACTCATTACACAGAATGAGGTAGCAAGCAAAGGAGACAGCAAAGTTATGTATCTATAGACAGCTTTAGATGAGGTCATGAGCCATGAGTGAGCAGCTTGGCCAGAGCATTAGATCATCTCAGCCCCACAGCTACTTTCACTTGGGGTCATCAGTTTGTCAGTGTACTCCCTCTTCCTGTGTTTTTATGCGAAATGAGGTAGAATGGTCTTTTTTTTATTGCCAGTACGAAGCATTTCCTGGCATTTCCCCTATTACTAGGCACAGCTCCAGGGAGGAGGATTTTGAAGCCATGATGATGTGGAAAACTGACAACAAGCGATGGAATGGTACAGGGGAGGCAGCATGACATTTTGTCTCCAATCAAGGGGGAAGCAGCACAGTCCAATGTATAAGGACTCATATCGGGAGTCAAGAGACTGGAGTGCTGGGAGTGCTATGCCTGGCTCTATCATTGTTTTATAGTGTGATTTCAGAGAAGTCCCATCACCTGGCTATGCCTCTGTTTCCCCACCTGTGACACCATTGCTCACCTGCCTTTACCAAGTCCTTTGGACTCTAAGGCTAAAAAGCTCTGTAAGTACAGTATTACTGTTATCATCACCACCCTACGGAAAAGTAGAGATAAGAGTGTAATTATGTAAAAATCACCCCAAATGTTAATATACATCACAGATACACTGCCCCTCCCTCCTGCTTCCTTGTGATAAACGTGGAACTAGGATGAGGAGTAGCAATAAGTCATAGAAGTTGCTCAGGATGCCTAAAATGAACTTCTGAAGAAGAATGGGTAGGTGTAGAAATGACAGCCACATTGTAAAGGCAGGGCTTTTGCAGGAGAAATAAACTGCATGTCATACAAGTACTTTTTCTGGGCTTTGTTCTACCTAACTTTTCCTGTTGAAAATAATTCCAGCTCCCTTCCAACAGCCAAAGATCCACAGAGATGCTTCCCCCATCTACAGTCAGGATTTTCCAACCAAATGTTAGGGGGACCCACAGAGATTCCAGTTCTCTCTCTTTTCTCTTTTGTTAGGACTTCTTCCCCCACCCCTTGTTTTAAATGCAACTTGTTCCACGAGGTCGTTCTGACCAGGGCAAGCTGCCCTAGCATTAGATATCAGATTTGTTCCACACGATCTAATAGTCTGAGACCAATTTTGACCCGTTTTCTACACAGTTTTAGAAGCTAAAAATAACAGACACAGGAGAAGACACATCCACATTGAGCAAAGAGAACATCTCCTCTCCTAACTATACGGTACCCCCTCCATCAAGCTCCTCCACTTCTAGTCCCGCTCACCTCCCCTTGGGCAAGAAACGACAATACTGCATGTTCCAGCGACTAGCCCAGGAAACAAACAGTGGGGTCAATTAAAGGCAGCCTGCCCTGTGATCTTGGCGCTGCTCCTCTCAAACCCTCTCTCCTCGGGCATTGAAAGGCTGGTGCCGATGTCCTCCTTTGCTCGGGGTGAAGGGAGAGATGAAAGGCTTTTGTCCCCTACCTGCAAGAGGGTAGCTGAGATCTCGGTCCTTCTCACCACCAGCAGCAGCAGCAGAACGCCAGCCCCACCTGCTAAGGGACCGTCTGCGAACTACCGCTGCACAAGGGAGTCACATCATCTCTGCCCCTCCCTCCCAAGTCAGCAGCACTCACCAGCTAAGCGGACCTGCCAAGGGGCAGGGGCTCACTACATCAGCCTATGCAAACAGCCCGGGGCACCACAACAAACCCACGCAGGGATCGTCGGCAAAGTACCAGATGCACATATAAAGGGCTCCTCCCTTTTAGCATCAGCAATCGAAACCTCACATCAGCTCAGCTCGTTTCTTTCCCCGCCTCGGCGGCTTTGGAAGTGTGTAATGATCCGCGCTGTGCAATCATTTCCCACCCCTCCCCACGGCCCTACGGCATCAGAGATGCTTCTGTGCTTTGACATGAGCAGACAAGGGGGCACAAACCCTGTGGTGCAAACAATCGGCCGCAGGGAGCCCTGAGGGCTCTGCCCCCTCAGCTCCTCCTTTCTGCACTAATGCCGCAGAAACAATCCAGCCCTGCCACTCGCCCCCGCCTCCTGCCTGTCTAGCTAAGGGAATGGCTGCAAATTACCAAAGACACAGACGACTACTGAAGACTATTGAAGAGACTGGGGCCTACATTTCTGTAAGCGGCCTCTGGGTCTGGGGGGCTCAGTCTGTGACCACGTTTGAAAAGTTGGCTACGTTCCATCTTCTTTAGATCAGTGCTCAGGAGGACAAATCTCACACAAGCTAGACTGCTACAGATCCCTACACAGAACAGTCTGTGGCAGTGGAAAGCTACTGCAGACCTGTTCCAAATAAAGAAACAAGGCCCAGAAGCTAAAGGTAGAAAAGGGAGGGTGAGAAATATTGGGTACGTCTAAACTGCAAGGCTATTTCAGGATACTGGAGGGATACCTGCATCCAAGGAATGTGTCCGCTATTTTGAAATAATTTTCAAAATAACGGATGCGCTATTTTGGCATCCCTGTAAACAGCGAGACGTGCCACATTTCAAAATAAAATCAAAATAAGATATGCAATTTGCATTGTGCAAATTGCGTATCTTATTTCGATTTTAGAGAGCAGTCTAGACGTACCCATTGTGTACCCAAATAATCAGGAATGAATTTTTACTACAATTGCAATAAGGGAAACCTGTGCATCCTGTTCTTTTCTCTCTAATTCTAACACTGTGCCCCATAGACTGTACTATCCAATATGCCCAGAAAGAGGACAGCTCAGCCTTGCAAAAAAGGAGGGATGGGATGGCATCACCAGCCTGGGACAGCTTAGAGCCAATGAGCTAGGGGCAAAAGGATCCCTATGCTATTTCTAATTCCCTGCTTTTGCTTTCTAAATCCTTACCTACAAGGGGCCAAACCTTCAAAGAGTCCTTGATTCACTGGCAGTGGAGGCTACAGACAGCTGCTTTTCTGCTCCCTGAAATGGTGCCTGTTTCCAAAAACCCTCTGGCTGAAATTAAGCAATTTGAAAATTAGGCCTAGCAAGAGCCATGGCCACAGGCTGAGCATGCACAGACAGCACAGAGGTTCTGCGCTGGAACCTGTTCTCTCTCTTGCCTTCCTTTGCCCAATCCTGGTACGCCTGAAAGGAGCAACACTCAGCTGATCTCTGCTGTGCTAGAAAATGCTGTAAAAAAACAGGCTGGACACAGTGCCATATAATAAAACCTCACTAGAAATGGGGCACAGATCACAGACTAGGGGCTTCTAGAACTGTCATAATAATAATAATTAATAAATAATTGATAACTTTAATCAAGAGCATTTGTGAAATGTTTCTCATTTCTTGGACTGTCATTTCCTTCAAACAAGAGAAGTCATTAATCTCTTGAACTTACTCAAGTGTAGCACAGAGCTGGTGTCAGTCCCATTGTATCTTCCAGGCCCAAGGGGCTTGACTTTCTCCTGCTTTGCACCATGTGACATCATTTATCTCTGTACAAATTGGCCATCAGATGCTCCTGTTCTGACCCAGTTTTGCACCTCCTTGGCACAGATATAAATAGTGACACAGAGCACACGTCAGGGGAGAACCAGGCTCAGGGACTCCATGTGAAAATTAGGTGAGTTACCGGCCAAGATTTTAAAAAATGACTAGCAGTTTGGGGTACCTTTATTTTTGGGTCCCCACCTGGATATGCCTGAAAGGACCCTGATTTTCAGAAAGTGCTGGGCACTGTTGGAAGTCAAGACTCCCAGGAGGCATCTTAGGTTGGACCCCTGAAAACTCAGGCACTCAAAACCACTAGTCGTTTTGGAAAATGTTGGTCCTTATCTCTAAACTGACCCATTTTTATTGCAAAGCTTCCCCCATCCCAAATGAACCCAATTCCAGGTCACTCTCCCCATCCATAAAGCCCCCTCTGGGTTCAGTGCCACATGAAAGGGAAGAAGACCTTACTGGGCTGGAGAGAATCCCTGGAGGGGATGAAGATGATGAAGTGGAAACTTCAGTTTGGCAGGTATATAAACACATATAAAGATGGGTGTGTTACATTACCATGCGGAGATTGAATTAATATAAACACATATAAAGATGGGTGTGTTACATTACCGTGCGGAGATTGAATTAATCTTGTTAGCAATGGATCCTCTGCATAGTAATACAACACACCCATCTTTGTAAGTGTGTATATACTGTCAAACAGATGTTTAACTTCATACATCTGATGAGGTGAGTTCCAGAAACTTATGCCCGAATAAGTTTATTAATCTTTAAGGTGCCACAGGACTCCTTGTTGCTTTTCCTGAAATAGACTAATACAGTGTGACATTACACCTCCATATTCTTTATGGAAACATGGTTTTGAATATGAATATACCTAATTTGAATATGCTTTATACAAAATGTGGCATGTAACCTATCATTGGAGAGCTTGTAATCCCCTGAATGTGTATATTCTATTTGTGTGCATGTGTCATTCCTGTATTTGAAGTTAGAAATATGATGTATAAACCTGATTATATATCTAAATGTGCTAGTGAAGACCATTAGTACTACTTAAGGAATTTAATGGTCTGATACTCACAACAATGATCATCTTGTTTTTTCCTGTAAGCCTGGACTTTGGTTGGTCCTACAAAGACATGTGATCATGTCATCTGGTGCTGGAATCCATCTTGAAGTTTGTACTTTTCCACAGAAGTGTGGGAAATTGAACAAAGACTTTCTGCCCTAGGGAAATTCTATATAAGGGAAGAGGAAGTAATCAATTATTGTCTTCAATTGGCATCATCACTCCAAGAGATAAATGAAAACACATGGAAACAAAGACTGTAACAAAGAGGGTGGAGGAGCATTGCTGGACCCTGGTCAGAAAGGAGATCTCTGGCCAGGGAAGAACTTTTACCTGAAACAAGCACTAGGGTGAGAAAATATGGTTTGTTTTGTATTTTAATGTATTAGGCTTAGTGGGCATGATTTTGTTTTGCTTAGTAACTTACTTTGACTGCAACCACTTGCAGGTATTTAAATCCTACTTTTTATATTTAATAAAATCACTTGTGTTCTTTATTGAATCCAGTGTAATTAATTGTTACCTCTCTCTTTTGTTAGTAAAGGAAGTGAACAACTTATGAGCTTCCTTTGGGATTGTACCCCAATGGGGGAGTGAATAACTGGGTGCTGTAGTAAATTCCTTGAGTCCCCTCAGAGCTGATCTCTATGTGTATCTGCAACTGGTTGTGGCCCAGACTATGTATTTTGCTAGTGGCAGCTTGAGAGCCTGGCTCAGCAAGATCAGGTAAAAGGGGGCCCAGGTTTACTGAGAAGTTGGGCTCAGTGGTATTTTAAGCACCTCAGTTGGCACCACTGGGGACTCAAACCATCACACCATCATCAGGACAAAACCGATCACTGGACTGAACCACTGGGACCTGTGCAGTCTAGCAGCAGGTGCCCTACCTGCTATGCAGGGACACTTTGCTCCCCTGTTGGTTGCCTTATGCTGGGGACCTGTGCAACCTTGTAATTTCAAACCAATTTTCAAAAATCACATGCCACTCAGATCTAGTGGCCAGGCCCCAAAATATTATATTAAAATGTGCTAAGTAGTTACTCACAAGTTTTTGTTGTCCAGCAATGCTCTGATGAATGACTGTAAAAATGGCCTCACAGGCAGTGTTCCCTCTAAGCTGTGTGCTTGTGCAGCTGCTCAGAGATTCAAATGCCGCCCATAGATTAGTAGAGTGCCCACAGCTAGGTTTTTTTTTTTTTATTTCTTCTAATGGTGCACATTAACACATGCCTTGGTGCACATACAGATTATTCTACTCATGGATGGAAAAAACCTGCACAGGGATGGAAAAGGTTAGCGGGAACACTAATCACAGGGTTTCATTGTGGTGGTTTCTTAGTGGCTCTAATTGAAATCTGCTCAGTTTACAGATATAGACACTCCCCAAGTTACAACATCCGACTTAGGAACATCCATACATACAAACAAAAGGCTCACCTACAACCTCCCTGGAGCAGGCAACAGGCATGGGTGGTGGTGAACTGAGCAAGTGCTGGCTGGAGGACTCCAGAGAAGCAGGGAGTGGTCACACACCCAGTGGGTGGAGAGAGGCTGCACTTTGAAGGCAAACCACTGCATGTCTCCAGCTGCACAGCTGCCCCCCCACTGGTCCAGAACCCATTAGCCCACACTTGTGCCACTTGCCACCTCTTGGTGAGCAGGGCTTAGCTGCAGCCCGTGGGAGGGCTGGCTGCAGGAGCCAAGGCCGAGCCTATGTTGGGGGAGCTGCGGAGGGTTGGCCACAGAATGCCCAGAAGTTACTTTTAGAATCTCTACTACTTCTTCATCCTCCTCTAATTTAATCTGCCTTTCCTCAAGCACCAGCATTCAAGGTTAAATTAAAAACTATTTCTACTATTTTTCATTGCACACATAGGCTATGTCTACACTCGCAGCTTCTTGTGCCAGAAATATGCAAATACCGTTATTCCTGAAAATAATCGGCGTAGCGGCAAGAGGGTTTTTGTTGTGCAAGAAGGGGCAGTGTAGACAGCTCCTTCTGGTGCAAGAGCCTCTTCTGCAAAAATGGCAGCTCATTAGGTATGCAAATGAGGCGCAGCGATATTCCATGCTTAGCCTCATTTGC